ACTCTATATGAAAAAAATGATAGGCTAACATATTCAATACATGTGTTGTTATTTTATTCTTTCCTGAATGAAAATGGCAAGGGGTACGTGATTCAATCATTAAGCTTGAGTTACATAAACATTATGAGCCTATAATATGTATGTCCAATAATACAACAATTTGATAGCCCATATTATGGCACCCATAATTGGGATAGATACGTAGTGATATAGCACAAGCTGCAAACTCCAGTATTAGTATTGTGTTTGAATGTACTATTTTCTAGTTTTACCTGAATTTTGTTTCTAAAATTATGTCTAATTAATTAATAGCTTAATTATTTGCACTTTGGCAAAATTATGCATATTGGATGACATTAATGTGGACTTAACTTGATGGGAAGGTGGCTGCAAACATACGCCATCTAATACACATGCAAATTATTTGGTTGTAGATGAGAATCTAATATGAATCATTAAAGGGGACAAGAGTCTTCTTAAGTTTGTAACATTAGAGTGACACTTTCTGAAACGATAATTGGTGTAAGTCCATAACTCCAACTAGATAAATGTACTTTATTTTATTTTATTTTATTTTTCTATTGGAAAAAGACACCACCAGAGGAATATATCGTATCTGCAAGACTAAGGTTCATGGGACATAGTAAGCGGTAGTGACGTAACACCACCGGAGGAACCTGCAACTTTGAAGAAGTGGAAGGTTATAGCGAGGAAGGCCATGTTCGCTATCAAGACCATGATCGAGGAGAAGGAGAAAATGTTGGAGCACATAAGAGATATAAAGAACCAAAGGATGCATTAGATATGTTTGCGGTATTTTTTTCAAAGATAAATGATGCGAGGTTTTAGCTTATGGAGACCAAGCTCATCTCCATCATGCAATCCAAGGTAAAGTCCTTTTGCAGAGAAATATATAATTTTGATCCCTCTGCTGGTATGTTGGATTCTTGAATTAAAAGGATAATCATTAATGGATTGGGTAAGAGTATACGAGTTTTGTTGTTGTTGTAAGGTTGATCAACCCTTCCATCTCTTGTCGAGTTGGAAAACTGCTAGTTGATCAAGAGCTAGTTAAGAAAATGTTTCAAGCCTCATCCGAAATGATGAAGAATTACTTTTCATTAATAAAAGCAAAGGTCGACCCAATAAAAGTTAATAAATCATGAGAATAAAGAAAAAGACGAGAGGAGTGCTCATTCAAGGAGAGCACAATGGAAAGAAAACGCAAGTGGTCAACCTCTAGAAAATAGAATTTGAAGGGAGGTGATATATACCTTTTCTAAGAAGGCCACATAGCAAGAAACTGTTGGTTGAGGAATAAGCCAACTAAAGAAAATGTAGTCATGTCCAATGAGACACACAAAAGTGAAGATGAATGGGACCTTGATGCACTGTCAATCATAACTGGAGAAAAAGCTGATGAATGAGACGAGTTGGCTTTAACGACAACGATCGATGAGCTTGTCGATTCTAATGATTAGTGGGTAAATGACTCTGGAAGCTCAAGCGACGTAACATGAGATTGCATAGAGAAGTTGCAGGATTCAAGAGTATAGTGAAGTGAGTGGTGACAATTCACAACTTGACGACACAAATCTCCAACATTGGTGAGAATAAAATGAGTAAGAAAGATAAAATTAAACACGAGCTAACAATAAGTCATGCACGTAAACAAACATTGGAGAATAGTAGAAGGCTCCTTAATTGTCAAGAGCCCACAAAAGCAGAGACTTGCAAGAGTGCAAAAGAAAAATTTGATGTACATAAAATAATTAAAGAAATTCACTCATGTGAATATACGTTTCTCGACGTAAGGTGGACGTGAATAATGGATAAATAAAAGTTGGTGGTCAGGGACTATTGATTAAATCACCACGGACATTGGTGGAAAAAGAATATCTAATTAGCTAGGATCAATTTATTAACGTTTGTCTTCTTGTTTAAACATACATACTAAAACATTCTATTGTTAGTATTGATATAAGTTCCATACTATGGTTGTGTGTGTCTTCCAAAAGTGGTTTGAGGAGAGTGTCCTTAAGAGTTGTGAATAATTCGTATTGTAGTCATGATAACTTAAGTGGTATTTTGACCCTGCATAATTATCCACATGTTAGAGTGTGTACTCAATCCAATATTATATTGTAAAAATATAATATGAAACAATACCGAGACACTATCATACACAGACGTTATTCAAGTCGAGTAGAAATGAGCCATTTAACTTATGTTTGAACTTGTACTTGTTTCATAAACAACAAAATGTAGTTTGAACGCCGTTCATTTAAGTTTTCACAAGTTTTCCTCGTTTAATAAATTTAAATATCTAAAATGATGTTCACGGACATGAAATTATCATTCACAAAGAGTTTTTCTCAACTGTTTTATTTAAAACACGTAAATAACTAAGATAAAATGTCGAATTATATACATAAAAAGAAAAAAGAAAATCAATCCTATTCGTTTTATAAGTTAATTGAAATTAGTTGACCAATCAAATTGAGTTGTGTCTACGAACAAATGAGGAAAATTATTGGTGGAGAAATTGAAATTGTAACACAATCCACAACTGTTTGTATTAATTAATTATTTAGAAATTCTCAAATAGTCTCAACTAATTTTGTATGTGAACGAATATCAATAAATACCCAACAGGTTTCAGAAGAGAAATGAGGACAGTTGCACTCAGAAAGTCTAGTCTTGAATAGCCCAAACCTGGGAATAGAAAAAGAATCATTCTGAAGCTACCTCGTTAATCCACGTGCTAAAATACGCCTCCCTTTTGTCTTCATCTACCCTAATCCATTCTCCCTACATTTATTTTATTAAAAATAATTAAAAAAAAAGTAAAAGATAAAAATAAATAAAAGCTTTGGTCTAGTAATTTGGAGTGAAGAAAACAATAGCACAATCTTTTTGCAAAACCTTTGGTCAAAATTAATAAGCGCAGATATTTGTCCAATAGCTCCACTGCTGCATTTATTTATATTTGTAAGCTCGCACAGTTTCAAGAATTTCTTTTATTTTCTTATATTTTTATATGACATAACAGCTAAATATTTATTTTGCATCTATAATATCTATGATTTTAGAAGAAAAAAAATTAAAAACTGTTCAAAATAAGCTCAGCGGATGCTAAATATGGTTTGAGGTACAATATTAAATCAAAATTTGAGAATTTTGGTGCTCTATTTATGTTAGAATAAGTTTACGATTAGAAAATTATTAATTTTTTTCAACAGATATTCATATAGTTAAATTGAAATATACTTAAAAATTAAAATGTTATACTGTAAAAAAATAATATTTAATTATATAAAATATGCATTTTATATAAAATAGGGAATGATTGAAATTATTACAATCCCGTTACGCAATCATTCCGTCAGTATTTTTAACCGTTAAATGCATATATAGATTAGTGTAATGTAAATAATCTACAGTTAAAAACACTGATGGAATAATTTCGTAACAAAATTGTAGTTATTCCTTAAAAAATATGACGGTCAATGGTCTAACGATTAAACTGAGTCAAAAGGTTTGAAACCTCAACTAAGTAGTGATAACTGATAAACCAACATTTTTTCTGAAATATTATTAATTATTTTTTTAATCAAAGACTCAAAGTCTGTTCAAATTCTCATTCTCCCAAAATATTTATTTTTAATAATTATAAAATTCCAAATGTAGCCATAACTGGGTAGCCATATAAAAGTCCACTATTTGCTAGATTTACGTTTTGTTTGGTAAGCATATAAGCTACTTTATAATTTATTTGATTAGTTTATAATCTTCATGTGTTCAAATAAGTGGTTTTGTAGGACAAGTTTTTTTTTTTTTAAAAAAAAGCTCGAGTTTTATCCCATAAGCTTTATTGGTTAACTTTTTAAATAATTCAATTGAAATTTTTATTCAGCTAACTTATTAGCTAATTTTACCAAACAATTTTACGGGTGCGGTCCCATTATCATGAAGCGCACCATGAGAAAACGGGAAAATAAAACGGAAAAAGCCCATATGAAGCCCAAATGGGGTTCCATCCCAAAACCAATTGGTGGAATAAGGTGGCTCGCTACTAGAAACAGACTGGGTAAACAGGTAAGTCATTGCACAATACCAATAGAACCGTAGTCCATTAGTCTTATAAGATGGGTCTATTTTCCATATATGAACGATGTGGGACAACTCATAAGTAATATTCTAACATCATATAAGCTAATTTGTCAACCATAAATCATACATTATCAACCAGAAGCTATATCATGACTAGATTTACCAAACATAGCATGAGAGAACATGATTTAATATGGATCTCCCTTTTAAGTTTCAACTCACTCACACACTACGAACTTTCATTTAATTTGCTTTTTACCTAAATCAATAAATTTAAATATTACCATACATGCAAGTATTTATTTATTTTTGCATTTATTGAAAATCTGACTCCTGTATTCTGGAGCAAGTCCAGTTTCGTGTGGGAAAAGCACTGCTCTGCTTTTTAAGTTTCATATTCATTTCTTGAGCTAACAAAATTTCTCACCTTAAAGCTGCAACAGAATTGACTATATTCGGCAAGTGAGGTGCGCAGGCTAAAGAGCATGCACACTCTTCCCCATTTTATCCTCAAGCCCTCCCAAAAATAAAGAAAGGTTCAAACTTCAAACGAGTTCAGATAAAAACAGTGAAAGAACAATAATTTAAGGGAAAAAAAAAATAGGAAATAAGGAAGAGAAGGGAAAAAGTTTTGTTCTTTTTGGTGGAGTTGTGTTGATTGAGAAAAGGGAAAAGCGAAGTTGAAGCTTTTTTTGTTTTCTCAAAAGCCCATTTATTTCTTCTTCTGTCTTCATTGAAAGGTCAATTTCTTCTGTAGGAGAATATGATAGAGATATGTGGAGAAAAGGGGAAAACACTTGATAATCCAAGCCACCCATGCTTTTCTCCGCGTGCTCTGATGGAAAATATACCGACCAATCTCTAAATTTTCCTCTCTCTCTCTTTTTTTTTTTTTTTTTTNCCTTTTACTGTTGATAGTTGTTGTTGTTAGCCCCACAATGATCTTTTTCTTTTCCTTTTTTCTTGGCAAGAGTGTGTTTTTCTTACTTAGTTTTGGATCTTTAGGGGCATGCTCTCTTTGATTGGTTCCTCTCATACTAATAGACTCTCTAAACTTAACTTTCTTGCTTGGCATTATACTTCTGTTCTTACTGAAAAAATGCTTATGGATTGATTATCTTTTAAGGGTCAACTTATGGTGCTGTTGGTGGGTGAACAGTAAATTGTTTTTTTCCTCCTTGAAGTGGGCTTCAGGCTCTTGTGAATCTATAGATGGAAAGTTTACTTTTTTATGGGATATTTTGATGGCTGCTTTCTGATCAATTCTTGAGAAGAAATGGGTTCTTTAGCTATTAGGCTGTTTTGAGATTGAAGCACATTAAGGAGTTTTTGTGCAAGGAGATTGTACATGGCTTCTGTTGAGGAGAAACTCAAACAAGAGGTTTTTGGCAGTCATCACAATGTTTTTGAAGGGATGAATTTACTGAAAGAAATTAATGATCACACTCGTTAGTTCCAAATTTCTCTGCTTTTCTTTCTTATAAATTCTAAGTTATGTGTATTTAGCTGATGTTTGAACTAATTTGTGATTAGGCTTAAGAAAACAAATAAATTCTGAGCTTTGGCATGCTTGCGCGGGCCCACTAGTTACCTTGCCTCAGATTGGAAGCCTTGTCTACTATTTTCCACAAGGGCATAGTGAACAGGTTTGTTTTCTTCTTTGATCATGATTATCACAACAATGTTGGGAAAATTGAGGATTTTCTTTAGTCCAGTTTTTCTTTGGTTTTTAGTTTTTACCTGCCAAATGATGAGTCAATTCTGCTAGAATTAATGTCAGCAAAATGCGGAGCTCCTTCGTGTTGGTTCGGGCTTCATTTTTCGGACTTAAGGGGAAGAAAAAGAAATTTAGAAGAAAAAGGGACTGGATTTTCAACATTTGATTAATTGCCAAGAACCAGTTTAGGTGTTCTGAGTGGAAATTATTGTTAACGTTAATTTTTTTGTTAAGTATTCGCTTTTGTCTTTACATCCTCTGCAATGCCGCTTCTGAATCGTGCTGGAGAAATATTTTTTACATTAAACTGGAGAAATATTTTTTACATTATACTTATGAGTTCATTTTCGTACTAATCGGAAGTTAAAAGCTGTAAGGACTCAGACTGAAATGGTGTGA